GATTGTTCGAATTGTATAGCGCAAATACATAACATTTTTCAGATCAGGTCTACGTCTTTTCATTGTTCTATCAAAAAGATAACATAGTTATTAGTAATGTTGTATCGGTCACATGATTAAAGTAATTGAAATGTCCACATGAAATTTCAGTCACTCATCATACGTGATTCGTTATTGTACGTTGTTATTTTTTTCGTTTTATAGGCGAGTAGATTAATTTAAACAAAAATAATTTTTAAAATATCTGCGAACTAGTTAGATACAAGTTCAAATCAACGAAATATTTAGCATAAAATATTTTAGAATGTAGTTTATAAGAAAGTAAATGTACTTTTATGTAAAATATATATATATATATATATATTATTTCATTCAAATATTAATCGGTTTCATGATCATTCATAAATATCTTAATCTGTATGAAATGATTAAATGAGATCTAACTTAAAATTCAACTAACGATAAGGTTGTGGAGATTTTTTTCCTCACGAAGCCAGTCACTAGTGAACATAGTGATCAGTTACTGGTTTCAATTGAAACTGAACGATCTACACAACATTATAAAGTAAATGTGCTCACTAGAGACCAGCTTCATGAGGACATTCTTGGAGTTCTGGTGAGAAACCATGACCAGCAAAGTTTTACACTGTCAGGTGTAAGGTGGTTGCAATATGGTGATCCTTAACAAAAATTGGATACCAACTATGAGGTCAAGAGTGTAGGCATCCGCGCGCTCGACTAATTTTCGAATCTACCGAGTGGCAAGAGTTATAGTTGCGCATTGTTGATCATTAGTCCCCTAACAGGACTTGATGGCCGTCCAGGTCTACCATAAACTGATTCTTTAGTTACAATGAAAATAATTATAATAATCGTTGTCATTATTATTATTATTATTATTATTATTATTATTATTATACATGAAATGTGATAATATTGACATTTTCTAAGTTATATGATGAAACTATCAGTCTTATATTATCGATTAAAATAATAATTGATTGATGATTTTAAATGTGTAAAACACTGTCATCAGTCGGAATATAAACTTTAAAATTAAACTTGTCAAAACGTAAAACATATCGACAGGAATAATGTTCATTTACGGTTGAGTTAGAAATTAGTAGAAACTTACATTATAAAGTAGGATATGCTGGTTTGTTTCGGTTACGATTAATTTTTTTCTTCTACATAAGATTGATATTTAAATATTGATAACATTTTCTTAAAACCTCTTACATTTATTTTCATCAATTCTGTACCATTTTGTTTGCTAATAAAACTTTTCATCTGGACATGAGTTTACGCTTAACCCTTAGATTGATCAAGTTTAGACATTCATACCGATCGAGGGCAGAGGTTGAGTGTTAGCGCCTGAAGGTCTCAGGTTTCCAATCCTGCAAGTAGCAGGAAGGGTGGTTGCGCACTGCTGATGAGTCCCAAATCAGGACGAAACAATCGTCCAGTGCTTCCAAGTTTTTTTAATTTTTATGATAATACAGATAGTATGCGACTGATGAGAATCTGACAAAAAGAAAATACATTTTTTTCGTTATTCTGTTTAAATCTTTGTCCTCATTCACTATTTTTTTTTATCAAAATGAATAAACAAAAGTTATCTGTATGAAATAAAATATTCATTGATTTCATTCAATTCACATGAAGCGTAAATATATATACATATATATACACAGATGTATGTTACATTTTGCATTTTTCTTAGGCTGAACTTGTGAACGACTTGTTTTATTGCATTTTTTTTCTATAAACTGTATATATACTACTTGTTTCAGTAGTCATTTAGTAATGCAAACAAAAAAAGTTATACTTGAAACAAAATAAAAAATTAAAAATTCTATTTGATGTGTGCACAACAAAAAACGTTGGTTTTTTTGCACACATCAAAGGCAATCAAACTGATGGGGAAAAATCCATCACAAAACATTAAAGTCAACAATCACCCCATGACGGATCAAAGGTTTTTTGCGGAAAAAAAATAGGCAGTAAAAGTACAAACAGTGTAGTACAATAGAAGAAAATAGTGGGGTTATAAATTGTAAGTGAAAATGTAGAAACTTATATTTATATTAGTGTTAAGTTGTACGTCGTCATATCGGCAATGGCTTACATTTGATTCTGTGCAACGTTAGGTGTGTGCACAGATTGACAATTGATCACTGCAAATTATAAACAGTTGTTGTTCAGTATTTTTAATTTTCTGACAATAATTTCTCAATCAATATAAATTTTTTTATGGTACAAATTATGTTATACTCATCAAGAATAGTGTTCTTTAACGACATAAATATTTTGAGGTAATATAGGATAGGTAGTTAAAAAATATATGTGTATATATCGGTGACATTTGGGATAACAGTAAGTAAGTAAGTAAGTAAGTAAGTAAGTAAGTAAGTAAGTAAGTAAGTAAGTAAGTAAGTAAGTAAGTAAGTAAGTCAGTAAGTAAGTAAGTAAGTAAGTAAGTAAGTAAGTAAGTAAGTAAGTAAGTAAGTAAGTAAGTAAGTAAGTGAGTAAGTAAGTGAGTAAGTAAGTGAGTAAGTAAGTAAGTAAGTAAGTAAGTAAGTAAGTAAGTAAGTAGGCCACTGCGATCCCTTGACTAAATTATAACAGCAAGAAGTCTTGATATAGTGTAGAAATTGTATTCTACAAACATCCAGTCAGCACACAATCAATCCAAGCACTCGAATCGCGTTTATTTATACTCTATAGAGACGTTCTTCAGACAGTCATAAAAACAGCATACTAAAATGACACAATAACTAATCACAGTCAAGGGAAATGTGATCTTAAGGTCAATTGATTGATGCATGAAATAAATCCAAAATGAAGATATTTATGAAGCAAGTTCTGGGGATCTAACATCTCCAACAAAATCATTCTCTAAACAATTCAAAATGTACTGAAGTTAGTTTAATACCTCATACATCCTGATTTTGAAAAAAATTTACTTTATGCAAATTTTAAATAATAGTCCACTCACTTAATACCGAATGATTTTTCGATTTTCAAATATCGAATACTTGATTCATACTTAGATCTCCTCAGTTAATTGATTCAGCTGAACACTAACCATTAATACATTGTAGCTGTACTGGACTTATACCATACTGTGTTTCTTAAAATCAGAAAGATACAATCTCCGCATATTCTCTTCTTTAATAGAAGTTTAAATGTTATAATGTGACATGTTCGCAAAAAAATGATCAAAAACGAGATGAACTACTGATTATATATTCATTAGTATAATTTTATTTTTATACAAAAAAAGGGAAGAAAAAAGTAGTAAGCAGATACAATACTAGATAGAAGCTGAAATTTGCTGGCATTGTTTCTACTTCTAGGAATAGTATCAATTCATCTCATGAAATAAGGAATCCTAATGCCTGTTTTCAGCCACCTGATATCTCATATAAATACATACAATGCTCATTCACTTAGACTGATAAAAAAGCTGCTTTAAAGAACCAACCTAACATGGTGTTCATCATAACTCAGTGAGCAGTCACTTAGTAAACCTATGATCTCATCCAACCAGATAATGAAAAAGGTATAGACGATTTATGTAACTATCTATACTTGGTGCTTATTAATAGTGTGACGAGTTAATGAATGGGAAACAGTAGTGGAAATTCAACATGACAAACTTTGAACACAATTTTATTTCCTATTCTATAAGAGATTATCATTTACTTTAGATTTATTTACGCGCAGCCATTGTTAGTGAATAGCTGTAAATAATTTAAGTAACTTATTACTACAATTAACATGTATTATGTATGAGTTACGCTTTCATAATAATTTTCAACGAAATTCAGTAGACAAATCGACTTCTTACGAAAAAAAGAAGATGAACAGATCATTAATATTTTCCTGGCTTTCTTCACAGAACATTGAGCAACCATTAAAAACTAAGAATTTATGGATAGCTGATTTATTCCACTTTGGGATACCATAGCCGTACACAACCATCCATATTTACCTTCAGACAATTGGAAATACTCACTAGTAATCAAATGATTATCGTTTATGATAGGCTTATAAAGATTGTTGCTTGATATTGAAATAATCAATCACTCGTTGTTAGACCACCATCAGAAACCTGGAAACACTGGACCTGCATTTCGTCCTAGTATTTGAACTCTTCAGCAGTACGCGCCCACAATACCCGCTCTTAGGAGTCGAACTCAAGATCATCTTCGGTCTTAAGCGCAGACGTTTCACATCTGGTAACTACCCTATTGACTGTATACACCCAACACGATTGAACTCCACTGGTTAGTGTCTTATCACTAGAATTGAAAAACTTTCTTCATGACGCTAGACACTAGTGATAACAGTAATTGATTCCCTATTTCCTGAAGGCATGAGTCGTGGATGTGCACTAATGAAGAGTGAGTCGCTTATTCAAGACGAAACGATCGTCCTCGTTGTTACGCTCGTCACAAAGTATGCTTGGGGCTATTACGAGTTTACCTTAGTTGATAAACGCGAACGAGAAAATTACCAGAGTCCAGGTAGGCTACCTTGAATCTTCAAATAGAGTGAAAAGACTTTGTAAGCGTAGAAAGTATATTCTACAAACACCCAGCAAACACAGTACAATCAAGCATACAACTCTCGTTTATTTATACATCATAGAAACGTCCTTGAGACAGTTAAGAAAATAGCACACTAAAATACACAGCAGCCAATCACAGCCATGGATTTTCCTGGTGGGAATTGAAATCTCAAGGTCAACAGATCAGCCCATGCTCGCAATCGTAAAAACCAAAATAAGGCATTTATCAAGCGAATTTTAGGGATCTAACATCCCCAACACTCGTGCTTTCATCTTTCTAATGATGATGGTGTAACAAAACATTGATTCACAATTTTCTTGTGGTTTTTTACGTTTATTATCTATAATATAGACTGAAATTTTAGAAATTTCAAGTTTTTTAGTTTGTTTAAAAAAGACTTTTTTTCTATTTCATATTCATCAGATTTATTCATTCAACGGATTTGTCACTTTTTGTATCATGATGCTAACAATCAATAAACAGTTGTATGAATTAAATGCTGCCTACTTGCCAATGAATTATCGATGGACATTTGTACCATACATAAATGAAGACAATGAAATTGTACCGCAACGTGTACTATCACCTATCTCTTCATTGTCAGCAATTCCTTCAATGCATAAACGAGGTCCAGAATTGATTATACCATTCATTAGTGGTGGAACTCCAACAAAAAAATCCGAAATTGAATAGAATAACATGATAATTCATGGATTGATTGATTGATTGAGTGATTGATTGATTGATTTTGCAAATGTTGTAATTGGACATTGAACAGCATCATGATAAAATATTTTTTGGTTTAGAATATATATATGTCTATATGTCTTTATAAATGGATTCTTAAAATTTGATAATTTCATTTTTTTTGTTTTACGAGAAGCGGATCAACTTTAAACATGACTGACTATGAGACTCGAAAAAGATCCAATGCATTTCAAGGGGTCCTATCACCTATTTCCTATATATTTGGAACTCCCTCCGCCTGGAGCTCTTCTAGGGTTACTGCTGGTCTTAAGGCCAGATGAACGAGGAGGTTTGGGTATAGGATTAGCCACCGAATCCCTTTAGGCATCCAGTTAGCTAAAATATAGTGCTAACAAGAAAAAGAATTCGATAGTCGGTGGCCTAAGCTCCATTAGGGGTAACAGGCGTAAGTAAGAGGAACTATTCGTTTTCTAATGATGTCTATATTTGTTGGAGACCATATATTTTGATGGTTGTGAAAAAATTCTAAAATCTTATTTACATCACTGATATATAAGCTATTAAGATAGAAGCTTAATCAAGTTTTACATGAGAAAATTCAAAATGAGAAGGTAGCTCCTATTGGTTAATTTAATGCGGATATATACGCCCTACTTATTCACAAATATATATAGATATATATATATATATCCACCAGAAGGTTTAATTACTGACTTACTTGCTTTGAAATATTTTTTATGGTTGGCGTTTTTTAGCAAGTTAGTTTTCACCGGGATGGGATCGCTAACCCTACGCTCAATCCTCCTGCTTTATCCCGATTTAAGACCGGCAGTAGCCCCAGAGGTACTTCAGGCGAAGTTCCCAAAAGGTTTGGTTAGTTTTTTAACCAATACGATATAGTTGCTTGCTCAAACGAGGTAAATCAACTCTTCATTAGTCTCGTAAATAAGTCAGTATCTTTATTTGCTTTGTTAAATTAATTCAGGATACTGGGACGAAACAACCGTCCAGTTCTTCCAGGTTTCTAACAGTTGTCTAACAATGATCAATTCATAATTTCAGTCCATTAAAATTTCTGATATAATTTTATGTACAGATGAAACTAGATATCATCTCCTCAGTTTAATGCTAGAAAATGAATAAGAATGAATTTCTTACACAATTTTTGTCATATGATTAAATCTAGTCATGTATTTTCGGGTGAATAAATATATATATATATATATATACAGAAAACTTTCAAGTAAATCTAAATAACCAACAATCCAAAAAATCCAACAATCTCAATAATTCTTTAATGAAAAATCGTACAATTTGCTCACTAGTGACTAGCTTTGTGAGGAAATTCTCGGAGTTCTATTGACAAGACATGCCCCACAAGGAGCTCAACCCTGTCGCGTGTGAAACAGTTACCCACCGAGGACAATCAATGAGTTGGCGTTGAATCCCTAGACTGATCATAGTTAGACAATAACGATGTTGAATGCGTGCTCAGTGATCCAGAGGTTAGGCGTTTGCTTACAATATCCTCGGTTCGTCTCCTGCAAGGAGCAACAATCGTGGATGTGCACTGCTGAAGAGTCCCATGCCAGGACGAAACGGTTACCTTTCAAGGCTTCCATATTTATAATGGTGGTCTAACAAATGATCAGTTGATAATTTCAGTAATAAACAGAAATCTCTATAACTCCATGGTTTGAATCATTTCTTCTGGTTAGCATTTTTTTGGCAAGTTAGTTTGTGGTTGGGATGGGGGCGCCAATCCCATGCCCAACCTTCTACTACTTTATCCGGACTTGGGACCGGCAGTAGCCCTGAAGGGTCTACAGGCACAGTTTTCTAGGCAAAATACTTCGGATTCGTTTACCAGACACCATCAGCAACAACGTACTATGGGAGAGAACAAACCACCTTTCTACAGTGTAGGAGGAAATCAGGAAGAAGCGGTGGAAGTGGATAAGGCACACACTACGAAAAGCACCGAACTGCATCACAAGACAAGCCCTCACACGGAACCCTCAAAGACAGGGGAAAAGTGGAAGACCAAGAAACACATCGCGCCAAGAAATAGAGAAAGACAGAAGAATGAATGAAAACTGGGAAGAACTGGAAAGCGAAGCCCAGGACAGAGTTGGCTGAAGAAGACTGGTCAACGACCTATGCTCCACTGAGGGGGTAACAGGCGTAAGTAAGTAAGCACATTGATAACTCCATAGTAAAATAAGATTATCATCTTTCCAACCAAACTGATACAACCAGTAATCACTGTTATGTTGATTATCTTATTTCCATTTATTCATTATTCACTAACTCAAGATTACCAATCATTAAAAGCCTTAAAGCGCTAGATGATAGTTTCATTTTGGTATCAAACTCTACAACTATATTCAAGGTCAATGCCACTATGATGCTGTCCTGTAAAAATGTAGTCATTCGAAATCAAACAATAAGCAACTTCAATTTATCCGGAAACCTTTGACCCAGACAAATGACTACATCATCAAATAATCAGACAAGATTTGATGTTTGGAACACAGTTTTACAATACAATAAATAGATGTGAATATGTCAAGTGACCTTTAAAAAGAAGCATTGATCACATTGATAAGTAAATTGTTATTGTCTGATAAGAATAGACATTTATTTGTAAGCTGTTTTTTTCTCTCAATGGAATGTGATTAAAAATTGATCTTTTCGGGCAGAATATTTTAGGTTTGTGTTTTTACACATTTGAAATCAGAAATCAATCATTGTTAGACCACCATCGGAAACCTGGAAGCACTGGATGGCCGTTTCGTAACAGTGCTCACTAGTGACTAGCTTCGTGAGGAAATTCTCGGAGTTCTACTTGAGAAGACGTGATCAATGGAGCTCAACCCTGTCGGGTGTAGGCAGTAACTACCGAAGACAAATGGGTGAGGTCGTGCAAAATCCGTAGATCAGTCAGAGTTAGACATTAACATAGTTAGATGCCAGCTCAGTGGTCCGATGGTTAGGCGTTCGCGCACAATACCGCAGGTCCCGGGTTCGAATCCTGCGAGGTGCAGGAGTTGCGGATCCACACTGCTGATGAGTACCATACGAGGACAAAATGGCCGTCCAGTGATTCCAGGTTTCTAATAGTGGTCTAACAATGACTGATTGATGATTTCAAATGTGTAAATATTGATCTGTTAGCGTTTTTATTGCCTATACTTGTCTGTACACTTTCAAATGAATTAGAAAAACATTCCGAAAAGTATTCACCATTTTTCTTTAAAAAAAATAAATTGACTACTAACAAAAATGTCATGCATTTACACTATGCATGCGAGTAATTAAGCTGCACAATCTAACAGAATTTCAATGAGTTGAATCTTCAGTCACAAAGTTTTTAAACGAAAAAAAACAAGTTTTATTGGAGGAGCTTTTTCCACTGTAGTATATAATTTATGGGGCAATGTACACTGTCTACCACACAAAAGAAATCGATTTCAAGACCTACGAGTTTCGTAACTGACATATTATTAGAGTTATGGAGATGAGAGTTTTTTGCACATTCAAATCATCAATCAGTCATTGTTAGAACACCTTATTAGAAACCTGGAAGCACTGAAAGACGGCCGTTTCGTCCAGGCATATGGAATCCGTCAGCAGTGCGCATCCACTACTCCTGCATCTCGCAGGATTCAAACCCCGGACCTTTCAACTTGCGCGCGAACATCAAACCTCTGGATTACTGAGTTGGCACCCAACGGTGTTAATAACTTCCGTTCCAATCGTAGCTGCTACTAGGACAAAGTGGACGAACTTACATATATCATGAAGAACTGGTGGAGATATATTTGACAAATCATTTGTTCTTTCACTCAAGCCAGGTCGATTCAAGAATGGTAAAACAGGAATTTAAAAAACTTTAGCCTTGTCAATGGGATTGTACAGCTAACAGTACTGAAATGTGACAGCAGTAAGACGTTTTCCTCAAAGGTTAAATAAAGTCAAGCTTAAAAACAACGCACTTCGACTTGCTCCAGTAAGGGCTGTATGGCATTTATTGCATGAGCCTAGGCTCTGTGTGGCGAGCCTTCATTTGTTGTTCTTTAGACACCCAAGACCACTATTGGTTCAGTTTTCCTGTAAGTCGTCTCAGATAAAAGATGTGAAGAATTCAGTAGTAAAAATCAATCATAAGCCTCCAATAATCCATGAAATCACTAAGTCATCTGATCAACTAATCTGTATCTCACCCATCAAACAACTCACTGTAATTTTGTCTGAGCGATTTCTTCGAATTTTCTCTCATACCTTTGAAATCATGAAATGATCATTGTCAAAACACCGTTAAAAATCTGGAAGCATTGAACGACCGTTTTGTCCTCGTATAAGACTCACCAGCAGTGGACATCCACAATGTCATCTCACAGGAATCGAACCTGCGAATTTCGATCTCGTGCACGAACTCTTAACCTCTAGACTAATGAACCGGTATCCAACAGTGTTAATGTGTAACTTTAATTAATCCACAATATAACCTGACCAACATTTATCCTTATAGCTGTTATAATTCTATCCTATAAGTTTGATTCACAATGAAAGGTTATCAGAATTGATATGCTCGTCATCTGATATGCTTGAACTATTACGAGTTCACCGTACTCGGTAAACGAGAGCGAAGACAACGATATTCTATTCTAATCCGTCTGTCACAGGTCCGTTTAACTATATTAAAAAGTCTTGATATGGCGTAGAAAGTGTATTCTACAAGCATCCAGAAAATACTAGGTTGCTAAAAAACACAAATGCATGAAAGAAACGTCCTTGAGAGAGCAGCTATAATAATACATCAACCAATGACGGTCAAGGATTTTCCGAGTGGGAAATGCAATCACAAGGTCAACTGAGCAACTTATACGCGAAAACATGTAAAAATCCAAAATTAGGACCTTTCTCAAGTGCGTTTTGGGGATCTAACATTCCCAACAAGAATCGAGGTAATTACAATAATA